TTAAATGATTTTGTTTATACCAACTAAAATGTATGTTTGTCTAGTGAATCCTGATAAATTGCGCCGCATACTAGTTTGAGGTCTCCCTCCCATCAGTGCCTTATCTTTACTTTTCTCCATCAATTTTATATTTTTAATGCCTTTTGATATGCAAGTTGCTGACGAATTTTTAAAGGACGCATTGATAAAATGGGTTGAAATAATAATCCCAAAAACAACTGTTCTGGAGGAATTAAAAGATGGAAATATATTTTTACAGCTACTTCGCCTCTCGTAAGAGGGATTTTCATTTATTGCTTTTAGGGACTGCTGTCTCAGTGACGACATTTTTGAAAATATAGAATTTATACTTAAATGTAAAAGAAATTTGAATTATACTTTTAGCTTTCTTTTTGGACATTGAAGAGGTGCTTTATCTTAAAGACATTGGGTCTCTTTCTGATTTTGACTTTCTCATGGTAGTTTTATTTTGTCTTAGATTTTTAGATTTCTTATCTTATTTTCTTGAGATGCTTGTTCAGTAGCTCTAGTGACACAATTATGAATGCAGCGCTCCACCTTCCCTTAGAATCCCAGCACCTCATTCTTAGTGTTCTTCGAGAGCCAATCAATAAACTAAATAATAATCAACGATTCACCAAAGATTTTCTATGTTCTCAATTTACCAAGTTAAATCAGCCTCTTGCGGAAAACCACATTATTAGCGAGGTAATTGACAGCTGAAGTGTCATTTAATCCCATTTGCTGCAATTAATTTTTATTTATGAATCGCTGGTGATTGTATAGTTGTTTTAGATGTTAAACTTTTTCTTACATTCAGGTTACCCCATTTGAGCATGCACAATCTGATGTAGAAGCTCCGTCTCATCATAAAGGCGATGGAATCATTGGCCCTCTATCATTCGAAAAAAATTCTGCATCTGAATCGAAAGTTTTTCCCTCTATTTGTACTGAAGTTTCTAGTGGTAACACTATGCCAGAGGAATCTAGGCTAAATGAATCTACGTCACACGAAACACGGCGTCCGAATCAGTTGCTCTTTCATTCTATTCATGATAATTCTCCTGCGCCTTCCAAGCCCTCAACTATTACAAATTCTAAATGCAACGATGTTCCTTCCTCAGAATCACCGTACTCTGTCATCTATCCTAGTGAAAATTTGGATAATCCTGTGTCTAATAATGCGTCGTTTTCAAATTATGGGCTTTCTGCTCAGTTTCTCAGCTCTCCATTGGTCTCAATTAAATCTATAATTGATTCTCCTGTATGGGGACAAAAGGTAATTATTTATTTTTCCTTTTAGTGTTTGACCATTTCAAAGCTGTTTTTATTGTCATTTTCCGCTACTTCCATTTGGCTGAATTGTTTTTC